AATACCAAGAGATCCAAGACCATGATATTGGGCTTCATAACAAAACCCAACATCGAGCGCGCATATTTCAGCCATTTTTTCAAATCATCATCGAGAAAGCAAAAACTGCAATCTTTTTTTAACTCTCACCGGATAAAATCTCCGGACGAGTAGTAGCCGTGGTCTATTTGAAATTATTTGTATTTAAATAACCTTAAAGTTTTATATGATAATATTTTTGGTATTTTATTTTTTAATTTTTATATTTTTTATTATTTTAAAAATATATAGTATATTAATTAAAATAAATATTAAATACATAAAATAAATTTTATATACTTTTAAAATGTTACAAATTTTAAAAATCTATAATTACAATTACATATTAGCATTGTCAAACTAAATTTAAATAGATTTGAATTTATATTGTCTGCAAGATTGGATTGACTCTTAATTACTAACCTCAGCCTTAATGTGTTTAGTGTTCTGTTTTTTGTCACCAAAAAGCCGGGAATGGAAAATTCTGGAACACTCTTGGTGTTTTACGGTTTCACCTATGCATTGCTACATGTTTCAAACAAAAATTGTCTCAGTTGAGCAATCCATTAGAAATTGTCTCAGTTACTGCCCGGAAATATGAAAAAAAACAATAAATGATACTATTTCCATGGTTTGCGACCTAGGGGACGGACAGCATTATAACAAAATCAACAGGAGTGAGTAATATCATTTTATATTTTATTGAAGTTTTGATTGTACCATGTAAAATTCAGCAAAAAGAGAGTCAAACAATGAATATATATATATATAGATATAATGTTAATATTTGTCAGATAAGCTTTTAATAAATAAAAGAACAAACACCATAAAATTAATTAATCTTATAAAAAAATCAACAAGAGTTGATAATATTATATTTTACTCTGAAAAGATAATCCAAACAACTTAATTTTTGAGTTATTTTCCTCTGGCTTGCAAACATTTTTCTCAGAACATATATATATTGAGCTACATAAGATCAATCTGTGATGTAACCAATCTTTGTGATCATAGAAGTTCTTTAATATGCTGATTAAGGATCATAGGCGTAAGGATCTTGTAAGCCTTTTCCGTGGGATGGTAGCTGTCCCAAAATACGAATTTTGAGGCATCTGTGCAGGTTTGCCCATCACTGAGATGGTTGCATAGCATGCTCACTTCTATCTCGCCTGTGCCACAACAACCTTTATTTGTGTATTCAAACCCTAAATCCAAAAGCAACAAAAGGAAGACATCCTTGAGTTACTTATTAAAAATACTGATTCCAATCTCTAGAGTGAAAAAACTTTTCTAGAACTTAAGTCAAACAAGTGCTAAATCAAGATCAATTCAAGTGATGGGCAAAGGTATATGTACCGTATTTTTGAGGGTTTTGGATGATGTACATGAGTGGGTTGTAGACATCAAAATAGGCAATCTTTAAGCCTGGAAGTTTGTTCTTAAGAGAAGCAGTTTGGGCAGAGAGCTTGGAGTTGTAGAGTAATGCTCCGTGGTTTTCGTCACCTGCACAGCTTCTTGTTAGGCCTCCAGCAAGTGTTCTCTGTGATGGCACACACCCAATTGCCGGTAACCCAAGAACTGCAACTCTCCTTGCTCCAGCCTCATAAAGCTCCTGCCAATTAGGTTATGTTCCCACATCCGTTAGGTGGGTTTACTTTCTCCATTCCAAAACAAGTTAAAAATTGAAGCCTTCTCCAAGCTTTTAGTACTTATGTATAGCCTAGTTTGACATGATTATGTTTATATATACCTGGAAGAATTGTGAAGCTGAGCTGACTGTTAAATCAGTGTATGAATCAATGTCATATTCAGCTCTCCTTAATGGGTAAGTACTAGCAATATCATTGGTTCCGCAGAAGGCCAAGAACAATGATTTTGAAAGAAAGCTAGCAACTTGCTCTTCCCCTAATACTGACTTTATCTTTTCCTTGTATTCCTTGAAAAAGTCTAACTGATCCGACATTGAATAAACAGACTAATAATAAAGGAAAGAAAATAAAAAATAAAAAATGTTAAAAAGAAAGAAATAAAAATGTTAAATGTTGGAGAAAATTTGGATAAGAGTACAAAGGTAAGGATAAATACATATATGTATACATACTGCTATTTTAGATGTGAGAGGATCATATCCAGCACCACCAGAAGCAAAAGTTACTCCTGTTAGGAGATCTTGTGGCTGTAGCGTTGGGTCTAGATATGCAGGTAATAGCTCCTTGATGCCATATAATTCAGCTGCAAGAAATTTATATGATTCAAAAAAATATATAAAATGTACTACTACTACTAGGCATTTTAATTCCTAATCTTAGTGAAGCCTGAAAATGAGAAAAAAGATGACAGAATTGCTGTTATTTCAGTGTTATTAACTGCCAAAGGAATTTACACCATACCTGCAAAGTCGGAGGGGACTTTTCCATTACTAAACCTTCCAGTTGGTTTTCCCCCCTCAAAATCTCTGCCATAAGGTGGAAAATTACACTTGGCTTGGGTAGTAGTAATATTATTGTTATTCCCCGTATCCACTATGGAATCCCCAAACACAAAGATAGCCGGAAATGTTGCATTTTTAGCTAAAGCCACCGTGCAACCTCCAGAAAAGACAGGTACAAAAATAGAAAGTAGTATTAAATTAGTAGAGGAAAAAGAGTGGAGAAGAAACATCATATTCATATTATGGTGCAGGAATATTGATGATGTAGAACCCTTCTGATGACTCCTCCAATTTATTAGAATTATGTAACGATGATGGTCACCTACAATTTGTACGCCAACTAAATGCAGCAGGCTTTCCTTGCACATAACCGTTCATCGATAATATTGAACATGATCTCATTTATTGATGAATTAAATCTGGGGTCACAATTTTCATGTTCCAGTAGTTGACTATTCACATTACGCTCGGTACCTATCTCTACAACCTCTACTTTTTAAGAAGCTGCATTAAAGAGTACACTCCCACACCATTATCCATATCCCTTAGAGAAATAGCCCCCTCCTATTTATAAGTGAGGTTACCTCCTCAAGGTCTGGGCTCTAGAGCGCTCCTAAAAATCCGTCTTACGTACCATTTTAAGAATCCCCTCCAAATCTTTCACCTATCCAACCCTACACAATTCCAAAACCCTCTATCCTAGAACTATGTAACACTTTATAGACTTGGGCATGGACCAACTTGCCCACCTTGGCCAGTGCCTACTACTCATTCTGTACCTTGCATACTTCCAGAGAATTGTGGACAAGACCAGATCATCCCAGGGTGTCGACACGCCAAATCCTCCTCATTGTTCAGGTGTCCGAACCTTAAACCCAGACTAGGCACATAACCAGAATGTTCTAGACCCCTCAGGATCACACAAGGGTGTCGACACTTAAAATTAATAGAGTTTTCTTATTTTTTTTATTTTTAAAAAAAATTTCTCCCATTCTCACATATATATTTATTTTAAAAATAAAAATAAAAAACTAACTCATGTAGATCGAGTTATTGAATATCTTTTTTTTTTGGGTAATTTATGAAATATATTAGTAACCAGCAAATATTTAAAAAATTCTAGTTTTTGAGAAAAACAATTGTCATCAAATCAACTTTAGCATACATCAAAATGTCAGGAGGATAAGTATCAAAATGAATATAATCATCCGAAAGAGAATTACCTATCATAGCTAAAGAATCCATTTCTA